GAGTGCACGTACCCTATAGCAAAAACCTCTAAAAAAAAAAAAAAAGTAAAAATAATTATTTTATTTAACTTTATTTTAATTTGACCAGAGAGGGACAGAGCCGGGGGTGGGGAAGCGAGTGAGAAAGCAAGCTGCCAGGTCTGGGACTCAAACCACGGTCAGCCATGTGGGACTCCAGCACCCTTAACCACCATGCCACCTGCCAGTCTCACTGCTGGGATTCTAAGGACTCCTTTCTGAAGCCCAGAAGGCTGTCATATACAAGTTCAAGGCTCTGGAGTCCCACTAGCTTCCTCTCAGGTTGTGGTTCTGCCAATTACCAGCTGTGTGGCTGAGTAATCTCTCAACCTGAGTCCTAATGTCACCTGCTGGAAAATAGAGATAATTATAACACTTATAGAGTGGTTCTGAGGATGAAATAAATGGCAATATGTAACTCAGTCAGCCCCATGCCCAGAAAAGAGAAAGTTCAGTAAGAGATTTACAGAGAAGTCTGTCTCCTTCCAATCATCTCCTGCCACCTTCCAAGGGCTGGCAGCCTGCATACCTGTTTGGCATCCGGCCTTCAGCCATTTCCCATAGTCCTCCTTGTCGTCTAGCCCTTCAGGGTTCCAGGCCTATCCTTCCACTCACTCTTGTCTTGTCAACACCTCTGCCCACGGCCACAGGACACCCTCCTACCCTGTGGTGCCTGACCCCTGTTCTCTCCCTCACAGCTCTAAGCTTTCCTCCCTGCCGCCCCCCCTCCCGCTCTCCCCACTTTATCCTCACTGAACTGCTTTACGTGGGCCTGAGCCCACTGCCCCAGCCCTGTGCCTTCGGTAGGCCCAGAGAGCACTCCACCAAGCTGGAAGTAAGGCCTCCCAGATATCTGGGGAGACAGAGATGACTCAGGTCCATCACAGGGCTCCTGTCCTGGGAAACCCCCCCTCCTCAGTTCTTTCACAGGAAAGAGTCACCTTTAACTACTTCAATCCCGTCATGACCACTCCCTTTCGAAACACCGTGGTGGCTTCTCAGAGCTCTTAGGATGGGATCAGAATCTTCGGTGTCCACTGGGCAGCCCCAACCCTAACACCATCTCCCTTGCTCTGTCTTTTGATCTTAGCAAGCTCCTGCCAGCTTCAGAGGCCTGGGGCCTGTTACTCCCTCTCCCTAGAAAGTGCTTTCCCACCTCACTACACCTGTCCGAGGTAACACAACTGTACCCCTCAGCTCTTCATTTTACCTCCTATGGAACGCCTCACAAATCTGCGTGTCATCCTTGCGCAGGGGCCATGCTAATCTTCCCTGTATTGTTCCAATTTTAGCAAAAGTGCTGCTGAAGTGAGCACATTATTCGAAAATGCTTCAGACTTACCTAAGAAAGCCTGAAGAACGGCGACGAGCACCGGGTACTCTACTCTCCTTACCTGGAGTCACCAATTTGTTAACATTTTGTGCACTCGCTTTGTCTTTATTTTTTTTAATTATGTATTTTATTTATTTTTTTAATTTGACCAGAGAGAGAGAGTTAGAAAGCAAGCCACCAGTCCCGGGACTCGAACCATGGTTGCCCATGTAGTGGGCCTAGTGCCTTTACCACCATGCCACCTGCCAGCCCCTTATCTTCCTTTCTTTACACACACCCACACTTTTTTTCTGAACCATTTAAAAATGAGTTGTAGACCCTGTAACATTTGAAATACTTCAGTGTTTGTCTCTGAAGAACAATAATATTCTCCTATAGAACCACAAAGGAATTATCCTATTTGAGGAATTTAATGTTAATGCAATAATACACATCTGTTAGCAGATTTTCATTAAGCGTTTCCAATATATCCTTTTAACCTGTTTTTATTTTTAAATCCAGATTCAGTTAATTAAATTGCATCTGACTGCCACGTCCCCTTTTCTACTTTCATCTACGGTAGAACGGCCTTTCTACTTTTTTTAATTTGCTAGAGGGTAAATGCGGTTGCCAGAAAGAGACAGACAGATGCAGAGAGAGGGAGATAGACCCAGAGAGAGAGACAGAGAGACAGAGAGAGGGAAAGTAAAGAAGCACCCCTCCCCAGAGGGGATGGCCACACCGCAATCCCTTCTCTTCTGTTCTCCTTTCTGGACTGCGGGCATGCATGCACTCATGCCTGGCATACTTTTCAAGCTGTCAGGCCCAGGACTTGAACTGTGCAGTTAGCCAAGTGGGATCCAGCTGTCCTAATAACCACTATGCCACCAGCTGGCCCAACAGTGCTCTTTTTGCAGATCAATTATCTTTTAAAATGGCCCACGATGTCGGACTTGCTGATTATTTGCTCGTGGTTAGATTCAGATTAAACAATCTGGGTGAGAATATTTCATAGGTCATTTGGTGGAAGGAATGTCTGAAAAAAAGAAAACGAAAATTACAAAAAATGTTTAAAGAAAAGTAGTGTCCCCAGAGCTCTCCAGTCTAAAGATATCTTTACGGATTTGTGATTAGTAAGTAACACGTGGATGGCACTTTGAGATCTATGGCAACCCATCGCCCAGTTTCAGCATTTTAACACTCGCTATCGACCCTTGCCTGAATCTGTCTGTACATCTGCGGTCACAAAGTGGTGACTTTCTACCACTCCTGCATTTATGCGCTAGCGTTCTCCTGCAAACCGCTGGGGTAATTCATCAGATTTGCTGCCTTCCTGAAGGCCAGGTTCCAGGCTTCGTGCTAGGTGCTTCAGCAGGGAGATGCAGGCACTGTCCCCACCTCATGAAGGCCAGCGTGGTGGAGGAGCAGAAAGGGACAGCAGCAGCCTGGGTGGCTGGGGCTACCACAGAGCAGGCATCAGGGGCGGGAATACAACAGCAGAGGCACGTGACCTGGGGGGGGGCTTGGGAATCCCCTCCCACCGGTTTTATTTGCGTTGTAGGGTGTGGGGGAGCATCCTAGGGAGCAACATCTGGCAAGGAGTCCAGAAAGAGAGTTGGGGGGGTGGGGAAGTACCTCTCAAAAGGTTTGATGATAGAATATTGGAGAGTGAGGCTTGGGAGGGTGTTCTTGAAAAATAAGAGGAGTGGGCTCTTACGCCCCTGGACTTCATCTGAAGGCTTAGGAAGCCATTGGCGTGATCAGATTTGAGTTTTGGACATTTCTTTCTCCATGCTCCAGGGTCTCTCGAGACCTCCTACCTCTCCCTCTAGGTTCTCTCTAGGCTCCAACTCCTTTCACTAACTCTGGAACATTCTCTTCCACTTTCTGCCTTCCCTGACCTCCACAGAGGGTCTGATGCCCTCACTGTAGCAGCACGCCGCACTCTCTCCCAGGGGCTGAGAACGGGACAGTTTAGGGAACGGGCTTCTGAGGGCCTGTAGTAGCACCTTCTCCCTCCTGAAAGGAGCAGGTTGGGCATGGGATGGGGTGGGGAATAGATGTGGAGACCCTGGGAGTGGACGGGAGGCGCATCAGCTGGACTGGCCTGGGACACGGTGCTCACCATCCCACTCTCTCCTCAGCTCCCAAAATGGCGACGAGACCGGCACCTGGCCCAACAACCAGTTTGACACGGAGATGCTGCAAGCCATGATCCTGGCCTCTGCCAGTGGTAAGTGGCGCCAACGTGTGTGGGAGACCTGGAGTTCTGGGGTACAGCCCACAGCCACCATGCCTGGGGCCTGGATATCAACCTGCATGACTTCTCCAGCTCTTTCAGATGGACTGTGGGTTCTGGGATGCCCAGAGGGGAGTGAACGAGGACAGGTCCATGGAGATGTGGGGAGTGCTCCCAAGTCTAGCTCTGGAAGGGGACAGCATGTCAGTCAGTCCTCTCAGCGGCCCAGCAAGGCAGGTCCAATTATTTAGATTTAATAAATGTGAGAGCTGAGAGGTCACTTGCGCCAAGGCCCCTAGTTCTGAGCTGCAGAGCTGATTCTACCCAACTTGACTCCCAAACTCGTCCCCGTTTCGCTGCAGCGATCACGTCTGCCTGGAGATGCAGCCTGTTTCCCTTTTCAGGTCCTAGTTCTGCCGCTTACTGTGGCTGACCAGCTTGCCCAATCTCCAAACCTCAGTTTCCTCAGCCGAGAGCATAGGAATAGCACCACCCAGGAGGCTGTGAGGCTAAATGACAGGATACCGTCGTCGGGTACAGAGTCCCGGATACTCCCAGTGGAGGGAACGCATGCTGGTTATATGAGACTCTGTCCCCCATCTTTTTTTGTTGTTTATTTGTTTATTCATTTATTTAAAAACATTTATTTATTATTGATTTGCTACAGGGGATGCACAGTCACCAGAGAGAGACAGAAAGAGAGATAGTGAGAAAACAAGCTGCCAGGTCTGGGATTTGAACCATAGTCAGCCGCCATGTGGAAGTCTAGCACCTTAACCACCATGCTACCTGCCGGCCAAGATTCTTTCTTTTTATGTTACCCTGGCCTCCAAGGCAGGATTTTGGTTTTCCCACCAGGCTCACAAAGAGTTTCACACAAAATATAGTTTGGCTGATGATTGTTGGTCCCAGAGAGTCAGCAGGGTCTCAGAATAATATCATTAGGACTTAGGAGCACAGGCTTTGTAGGCAAGCCCATCTAGGTACAAATCCTGTCCTCACCACTCAGCTGTGAGGCCTTTGGTAAGTTATCAAGCTCCTCGGGGCCTCGGTTTAATTTACTATGAACTGGGTAATACACACACACACACACACACACACACACACACACACACTACATATATACAAATAGAGATTTTTGCTAGAGGGTGCATGTGTTTGCCAGAAAGAGACAGAAAGTGAGAAATCATCCCCTGGGTAGATGGCCATGCTGCAATCCATTTTCCTCAATTCTCTCAGAGTTTTGGGCATGCGTGCACAGCCTGAGTTTTAAGCCGCTCAGTCCAACCACTCAAACCGCGGTCGACGATGTGAGAGTCCAGAGACATCACCATTACACCATCTGCTGGTCCCAGGATGGGTGCAATAACAGACTTCACTGTGGTGTTGTGAGGGCCAGTTGTTAAGGCCCTTGGCAAAGCATTGGCAGAGAGTCAGGACACAGTATACCATGGCCATGATCGATTATTGTTACCTTTATTGACATACAGGGTGGACGGCAGAGTTAGAATAATGTCTGTGAATAAGGAGCGCTTCTGGAGTAGGGAATGCTGGGCTTATCGGAAGGCTGGCAGGGATTAAGGCACTGGCCTTAGACGGTGAGTGGAGAGCCGGTGAGTGGAGAGCCGGTGAGTGGAGAGCCATACCCTCCAGCAAGTCTGGAAAGCTGGACTAGAGGCCCAGGTGAAGTCCCAGTAATCACCGTCGTCATGCCGTGGATTGGTCTGGGCACATGTTAACCACCTTTATGGGCCTCGTGTCAGTCAGTCCTCTCAACAGCTCTGCCAGGCAGATCTGATAACTTACATCTGACGGATGACAGCACTGAGAGGGCCCCGGGTTCCAGTCGCAGGCTGTGGTTCCACGCTGCTGGACTCCCGGATTCGCGCCTGTTCTACTACAGCAGGCATGGCTGCCTTTAGATCCAGCCTCAGTTTCTAGAGGCTGAACTCCTCCTAATGACCTGGATTATTCTCCCAGATTAGGTTGCCAGATAAAATACAGGATGCACAGTTAAATTTGAATTTCAGATAAATTCAGATTTCAGGTCTTCAATGGCACACGAAACACACTGTCCTGAACAATTACTCACCATTGGGCTGACCAGTGGCACAGAAGTTAAGGTAGCTGGATCCCACATGGCCCAAAGGCACTTCAAGTCCTGGACCCGGTGACTTGAAAAAGACACCAGGCATGTGTGCACGTGTGTCCCAAATCCCAAGAAAAAAATGGAAGAGAAAGGACTGCTGCATGGCCATCCCCCTAAGGGGTGCTTTCGCACTCCCCCATCCTCTTTCTCCGTCAAGTGTACAACCCCATAGCAAAAAAAAAAAAAAGTTTAAATAAAAATACTCATTGTTTACCTGAAATCCAAATTTAACTGGGCATCCTGTATTTTCATTGACTAAATCTGCCATCCCTACTCCAGATGTCTGTGAGGTTAAGTGGAGCCAGGCCTGTGGTTGATGAAAGGACAGAGGAAGAGAGGGACAGGAGGGGCCAGCCTCTTGGGGCAGAATGCCCCAGGTCTGGTCAGGCTGAGCTTCTAGGGAGGCCAGATGCTGAAGGTCTGGGGAGATGCCAAACCGCCTCTTGAGGAGAGTAAACAGGTATATTTAGCTGTGGTGGCCTTGGACCCTAAGGCCAGGAAGCAGGCTTTTCAGCCTAAATCCAGATGTTAAAAACAGAAATGGAATCAGTATTTATGGCCCTAAACCTCCTAGAAGGTCCCCCTGGAACAAGGGGTCAGGCAGGCCGTTCTCCTTTGGCCCACACAGGGCCTGCCCTGAGTCTGAGCTTGGACTCTGGGGAATGGGCCTTGGGGCTGGAGGTGGCAGGGTCAGGCCCTGCTCTCACTTTCACACCCACATCCTTGAAGGGAACTGGAGAGGTTCCTGGAGTCCAGCCCAACCAGGCCTGTGGGCTGCTGAGGGGGGTAAGAGAGTGAGACACTTGGGAGGCTTTTTAAATAAACATTGGGGGGAGGGGAGAGGTGTGCTCTCCAGGCTGCGGTTTGCAGTCACCCAGCTCTGGTCTGGCTTAATCAGGCCTTCCTGGTGACAGGGGGCAGGGGGAGCTTAGGAGCTGGAGCTGAGCCTCCCTGGGCACCCTCCCCTCCCCACCCCCTCACAGCCCTCCAAGCCAGGCCAGACCGTGCCAGGCCCTTTGTCGCCGCTCTTCTGTGTTTGCTCCCCCCAGACTAAGAGGAAACCCTGTTCTTGCTCAGTGTAGGTCTTGGGGGCGGGGGTGGAGAGGGAGGGGCCTTAGAGAACTCATTCTATAGGTTAAAGCTGGCAATTCAGCTTCTTCCTCTGAGACTTACAGGTGGGGAAGCTGAGGCCTGGAAGGTGCAGGGCCTTGGTCAAGGTCATGCCACTCCTTAGTGGCGAGCTCACCAGACAGAAGTCTGTCAGTCTAGTACACCCTGGGCTTCCAGATCCTCTTCCCCCACCGGGTCCTGGGCCCCCCACTTTGTGGGGTGAGGAAGGTGGGCAGGGGCTGGCCTTGTCACTTCCTTTCCCAGAGATTTTGGGTGTGTGAAGGATGTGGGGGGAGCGCGTGGCTGCCCAGTCAAGTCTTTGCCTTCCCGTTTCCACCTCCCCGCTGCCTGGGCTCTCTTTCCACCCCGTTTTCTCCTCCGTTTCTTCGTTGTCTCTGAGGTCTACCTCTAGCACCTGAATCACTCTCTAATCCGGACTCTTTGAAGCGAGATCTTGGCCCCTCCCCCACCCCACCTCCATTCCCAGGCTGGAAGGGCGGGGGTGGCAGGGTGGGAGTAGGGGAGCGGCGGTGAGAGTTGGGTTGTGCGCGGGCGCCATCCAGGACCCGCCTCCCTCCTGGAGTTAATTAAGGAAAACGGAGAAAGGAGAAATGTCAGCGGAGGAAAGGGTTGAGGAAGGGGGCCGGCCTGGGGAAGGCGGGAGGAAGTGGGCAGCTGCTCCCTCTCACCCAGCCGTGTGCGCGCCCCCCAAAGGCCCCAAGCTCTAAGGATTTGGGACCAGAATGGAGGCCGTTGAAACCTGAGCGCTGGAGTGCGGAGGCGCATCCCCGCCCTCCCTTCTCCTCTGCCCTTCCCTCCCCACCCCCACCCAGGCCGGCTTAGAAAACACTTCCTGTCTATTTCTCAATCCCTGGTTGCTATCCCAGGATTACTCAGCCTCTCCGGGTTTGCTCATCCGCTGTACCGCTCTCCGCTCTCCGGGTCTGGAGTGGGGGCCGAGGGAGGTTCAGACGGAGGCTCCTCGGCCATCTGGGCTGGGGCGGGCCTGGGCGTCCGTAGGGCTTTAACTCTCTGGTCACCACCAGGATTTCAGGGCCTCCAGCGGTGAGCCTTGAGGAGTCAAACTCCGGTTACACACCCCCAACCCAGAGGCAGCCTGGGCGAGTGCAGGGTAGAGGAAGGACGGGCTGGGTGAGGAGGGCGGTGAGGCTGAGAGCAGCAGCCAGCATTTACCGAGCACTTACCAAGTGCCTGGCCTGGGCGAAGCACTGTCCCATTTGGCCCTCACCAAAACCACTTGAAGCAGGTACTTCTGTGCTTCTCAGCCTGTAATGTGCACGCGCTCACCCGGGACCTGGTTACAATGCAGATTCCCGGAGTCTGCATTTTAAACACTTTCCAGGTGATGCTGGGCTGGGACCAGAACACGGTGCTCTTCCAGAGGTGCTCTCCATCAGCTAGCGCTGGCAAACTGAGCCACTGTCTACACTGTGCCTGAGATGGCTGGTCCCCAAATCACCATCTTCTCTTCACCTCCTTTGCCCTCAGAGTAGGCATGGTTCAAGCTGGTCAAACTCGTGGTGACTAAGCATTCTTTCCAGCTTAGACACACTCGGGCCTCAATCCTGCTCTAACACACTGGTCCTGGTACTTGGGCTCGACTTACTTTCTCCAAGCCTTGGTTTCCTCAGGGAGGTATGGGGACAATGCCACAGACACAACTGGGCTATTCAGGTAAAAAGTGATGGTGCAGCGAAACAGCTAGCTAAGTGCTTGGCACCGAGCACGGTCAGGCCGTCTGGAGTGAGTGCTGTGGGCCAGCCCACAGTGCAGTAGTTCAGTGCAGTGCATGAGGCGCTGGATGCCACATGCCTGGCCTTGGTTTGAGTCCCAGCCCCAGTAGCTTGAAGAACACCCCAGGCATGTATGCACATGTGCCCGAGATTCTGATGGGATGGAGAAATGGAGGAGAAAGGATTGCAGAGTATCCATGCCCCATTGCAGGGTGCTCGCTCTCTCTCTCTCTAGTGCGTGCAATTGAAAAAAAATGTTACATATTTTAAAAAGAGAAATGGCAATTTTAAAAATGGCAATAAAAAATGTTACATATTTTAAAAAGAGAAATGGGGGCCAGCAGGTGGTGCAGTGGTTAAGGTGCTGGGCTCCCACATGGCCGGCCACAGTTCGAGTCCCAGACCTGGCAGCTTGCTTTGTCACTTTTTCTTTCTCTCTGGCTCTTCCTCTCTCTAGTCAATAATAATAATAAGAAGAACAATAATAACAACAACAAATAAAACAAATAATTCTTTAAAAAATTAAAAAATAGAAAAGAGAAATGAAGTATTTGGAAGAGCACTGCCCTCCCCCCAGCTAATACAAAGCCACTGAATGGCTACTCTGGCAGGAAAGGGACAGGAGTTGCACAGACCCTGTGACTGCCAGAAGCCTATGGTCTACCGTGGATGCCAGGGACAGACGTCTTGAGAAGGGCCAGGGCAAGGATTTGGGGCTGGTGCCTCTCGCTGCTGTCCTCTAGCATGTCTGAGTACGGGGCATGAAGTAGACGCTATTCTAGGTACTTGCAGTACTTTTTCCCAAGAAACACTTAGTCCCAGGAATGTCAAATTCTCTATAGACAATGATGATTTGTCAAAAATAAATAAAATTTCCTGTTTAGCCCTCACCCAAACCAGAGAGATAGGTTACTATTATTATCCTCATTTTGCAGATCAGAAAACTGGGGTAAGCATAGGGAGGTTAGGTCAACTTGCTCAGAATCCCAGTTCGTAAGAAAAAGAGCTAGGGGAGACTGGACCATGGTCAGTGGTAAACAGGATGCTCTGTGAGGCAGTTCCAGGTTTGAGTATGGACACCTCCCCGGCTCCCCGGGCATATGCTTGCCCATGATCTGGGGCTGGCTGAAGGCTGAGGTAGATCGCGATCCTGCTGGGGGTGCTCTGTTTCTCTCTCTGCCTCTTACGTAATGGAAGAAATAACTAAATGGACTTTAAGAGAGGGGAAAAAAAAGCTAGGAACCAAATCAAGAGGAATCAAACCCAGGCTGTCTCACTCCAGGGCCTCTGAACCTCTCCCTGGGTGACCACGGCGCCCAGTGCTGGTCAGAACCCAGGGTGCTTTGCAGCATCCACGAACTGCTTGTGGGAGGGAGAGTGACTGTTGTGAGGACCCGGTTCACCCCTACCTGATCTTCCTCTTCTCTGTCTTTGCAGAAGCTGCTGATGGGAGCTCCACCCTGGGAGGGGGTGCTGGCACTATGGGCTTGAGTGCCCGCTACGGACCCCAGTTCACCCTGCAGCACGTGCCCGACTACCGCCAGAACGTCTACATCCCTGGCAGCAACGCCACACTGACCAACGCGGCTGGCAAGCGGGATGGCAAGGCCCCAGCAGGTGGCAATGGCAACAAGAAGAAGTCGGGCAAGAAGGAGAAGAAGTAATGTGGATGCCAGGCCTCAAGCCGCAGGGCAGCCTCCCTCCCCAGCCAGCCCAGCTTCTCCTTACCGGTACCCGGGCCTCAGAATTTCAGGGTTCACCCCCAGGATACTGGTAGGGGCTAAGGCCATGCTCCCCTTGGGAAACAGAAACAAGTGCCCAGTCAACACCCCCTTCTCTGCCCCCAGGGGGTTGAATATGCAAAGGGAGTTCTGCTGGGAACCCCCATCCAATCAATTGCTATACCCATGGGGGGGTGGGGTTAGTGTAGACACCCAGAATCATTGTCATGCCCCCTTTAGTTACAGCTGAACTCCTCCATCTTCCAAATCAGTCAGGCCCATCCATCCCCTGCCTCACTCCTCCGTGCCCCATCCCACTCCTTCAACAGTCCTCTCTCTGAGGAAGGAGGTTGGGTGTCCAGGTACCAGGTGACCTAAAAAGACTCATGGTTCTGAAGCGTTGGAAGGGCATCATGACCTCTTGGCCCCTCCTTCAGTTCTCAATCTTCCCTCAAAGCATGGCTTGGGGCCAGTCTCTTCACTCTCCAGAGTCTGAGGCCAACGCTCAAGTTTTGGGACACACAGTCACCATCCCCATGGTACTGACGCTTGCTGGATTTAGGGAGGACATTTTGCTACTAAGCCTCTTCCCAACACCCTGGGGACCAGTTTTTTGTTTTGTTTCGTTTCGTTTTTTATTGTTTGATGTTCCCACTGCATGCTGTGACTTCCCTACCCTCTTCTCAAACAAGAGACTCCATTGCATGTTCCGAGACAGTATGGGGCAGTAAGATAAAGACCGGAAGTATGTATATATGGAAGGGGGGGATGGGCAAAACTCAACCCATCAGTTAACAGGGTCTTGCAGGAGGCTCTAGATGTCCCCAGGGTACTGACCAGATCCCCAAATTCCAGCCATAAATCAAGCGCCAGGCTGGACCCTCACCCCCTTATATACAGGGCTCAGCCTAGGCGGCCAGCTTTGGACTGAGCTACCGGGACCAATGGATTCAAACTGGCATTTCAGTCCGAGGAAGCTCTGACCAGGTTTGGGACCAGGTCGCCCTGGAGAGGTCACAGGGGCCTCTGTGGGTGCTGGGTACTCCAGAGATGCCACTGGTGGAAGGGTGGGTGGAGCCCCAGCAGGGAAGATCAACTAGGCCATTCTCGTTCCCTGAGCTGGGGATACATGAGCTAGAGCAGGGAGAAGTGGACAGAGTTTCAGCCCAGGATGGGGCCTCTCCTCCGGGCCCCTGCACTGCTCCCCTGGGCCCTTCACCTTGCCAGGTGCCATTTCTTCTCTGTGAAGGCCACTGCCCAGGGCCCCAGTACACCCCCTAGTGGCCAGAGCCTGGTTAAAGTCTCCCAGTGCCTCCTTGTGCATAGACCTTCTGCCCAACCCCTTCCACGCTCGGGGTCCCGTTAATCCAGCGGGGCTGCGAGAACCCCACCCTAGCCCGTGCAGTAGTGTAGAGACCCCTCCCTCCCGGCTGGTGTAGAATAGCCAATAGTGTAGTGCGGTGTGCTTTTCCGTGATGGCGAGTGGGCAGCGGGCGGCCGGCTCCGCGCAGCCCCGCCCTCGAGTCTGCCTGCAGCGGCCGTGCTGTGTTTCGTGCTGTGTCCACGCGCTGCGGCGACCCCTCCCCCGTACTGACTCCTTCTTATTATAAGCGCTTCTCTTCGCATAGTCACGTAGCTCCCACCCCGCCCCTTTCCTGTGTCTCACGCAAGTTTTATACTCTAATATTTATATGGCTTTTTTTCTTCGAAAAAAAATAATAAAAGGTTTCTTCTGAAAGGTTTCACGTTTCTGTGCGAGAGATGGTGGCTCCTGGCGCACGTGGATGAGAGGTGTGTGCTGGAGGGAGGCAGAGTCGAGGTGCGATTGTTTTCGCATCTTGGTTTTGTGTCACTGCACAGCCCCATGTGTTTCTGCATTCCGTGTGTGTGTGGGGGGGGCGCCCGTGAATCTGCGTGACTGTCCAGTATGGCTGTGTGCAGGTGCAGGGTCGTGGTGCTTAGATAGCAGTATGCGACCGCGCGCGTGTGGACCTGTATCCCGCCGTGTGCAATCGGCTTGCGGGTCGTCGTGGGGGTGGGGATTCCCGAGGGCGGCGTGTCACTGTGCAGTCGAGTGTGCCATGGTGAGCTGGCGGCGGTCTCCGCAGCGGGTCTGAGCGCCTGTCTCCAGGCAGAAGAGGAGCCCCTGGCGCGGGCGGGGGCGCTCGGCGCGGCGGAGGGAGGGAAGACGTCCCCTTAGTTCCCGCCCCTTCCCCCGCTCAAATTACCTCTCCCGAGCGCCCCTGCAGGCTTCGCAGGAGGAGGATGGGCTCTCCTTGGCCCGCCCCGCTCCACCCACACTACCTAGGGGTTTGGGGAACAGCACCGGAGTGGGCGGGAGTGCGGGAGGTGGTCCTCAGAGGGCAGTCGGTAGCTGGGGCCTCAGTTTCTCACCTGGAATTCACCTTCCCCTTCACCTCCCTGCAAAGCTAAAATGGGAGTGGAGGAGCTCCTCCGTTTCTGGCGGGGAGGGGGTCGAGGAGACTGGGAGCCCACACTCAGCTCGTCCTCCCCTTCCCTGGTGCTTTTCCATTCCCTCGTCGGCTCCCCCCGGCCCCGCCCCCTCGAAGCACGGTGGGGTTCCGAGGTTGCTGCAGCCAGAAACTGCAGGAAATGCGGGGGTAGGGGTGGGACCCAGAGGGGTTAAGGACAGAGACACAGACCCCCCCTGGGGTTATCAGGAGGGGCAGCGAGGGTGTGCCCACGGCAGAGGGCAGAGCCAAGGAGGCTGTCTCTGGGCTGCTTCGGAGCAGGAGCAGGCAGCGCCTCAGAGCTGGGTCATCCGCTCTGCCGCTCCTGGCCTGTTGTCATGGAAACCAAACCTTCCAACCAGGCAACTTGGGGGCGACTCTCCTGCGTGGGAGGAAGGGTGGTGTGTGCGGTTGCTGGGATGGAAGCTGGGTTTTGTTTCTCGGAGCCAGGCTGAGGGCGGGGAGCCGGGCGCCTGGGTTCTATTCCGGGCACGGCGGCAGCAGACTGGCAGAGCGTGAGCAGCTGTGGCTGGTCCCCTAATTGGTATGTGCGCCAGGAAAGCTCCTAGCCAGAAACGCGTGGCCTCAGTGCGAGGAGGGAGGACGTGGGCAGTGCAACCCCGCACCTCCGGTCATAGCAGAGGCAGCTGTCCAGGCTCCAAGGCTATTTAAGAGGCTTTTATTTCTGGTTCCACATTCTGCCCAAATGGGTTCGTGGTCCTCTCCCTGCGGCTGTCTGCCCTGCGCATGCTCATAGCTTGTCAGGCTCCCCCAGGGCACAGGGAGCTTGGACAAGCACAACTCCTTGGAGGGCGAGTCCTCGACTGGGGCATGACCTCGGGCCTCCACCCCTCAGTCTGGACTGAGGTCTGTGGCACTGGAAGTGGTGAGAATGGGGGTAAGATACTTCCCTCAGCATGGCACAGGTACTGCAGGAAACTGACATCTGGAGGCTCAGGGATGTGGGCAGTGGACAGAAGTTCAAGAACAGGGCCCCAAGCCAAGAGGCGGCAATGTGGAAGGGCAGGGAGCCCGAGTCTTCCTTATGGAGGGCCTGGCTGAGGGGAGCTCTGGCAGGGCAGAAGCCGCCACGTGTCAATCTCTAGCTCTGTACCCAAGCCTAGAGTCTGGCACTTTAGGTTTGTTTTTTTTTCCCCCCAAGAATTCACTTATCATCATTATTCAGTTTGCCACAAGGCATGCATGCTCACCAGAGAGAGAACACGCACAAGCGAGCCAGCCTCCGGGTCCAGGACTTGAACCCTGGGCAGCCACGTGGAGTCCAGCGCCATAACTACCATGCCACCTGCTGGCCTCTGCACCTTTATTTTTGTGACAATGACCTGTCAGATCAACCAGGCGTCTGCGGCAGAAAGGCTTCTGGAGCCTGGACTAGAGTGAAGAGGCTCCCATGCTCACAAAGGAGGTTGGAGGGCGGTTCTGTTTCAATGCTTTATTCACGGTTGGAAACGAACCCAACAAACTGGACGTGATGACATCCCAGAAGCCCAGAGGTGAAGGAAACGGGTTTGCGTTTTGTCCCCCACCCCACTTTTTATTAAATGCATCTTAGCAAAAGTAGATTAAAAAAGAAAGGGTCAAAGCCCCAGACGTCAGCGAGCGGGGAGAAGGTGGTGGTGACCCGGGGAACAACAGGCCCCTACACCAGTCTTCTCGGGCATAGCTCAGAGGCGCTGCCATGGCCCTTCAAAACACAGGCTCTAGCAACAAAACCCTCCTTCCTGGCTGCAAGGCCTCCTGGCAGCTGCCCTCAAGTGCCCCCCTTCCTCTAACAACTGTCATTCTGGGCCAAGCCCTACAGTGATGCTACCTCTTCCTAGCTGTGGTGGGAAGTCCAAAGGGCCACAAGGAGGGCAGAGAAGCCAGAGAATGGGAACTTCCTGTGGTGCAGGCCCCCAAACAGTTCATTCTGCCCACTGTTCAGAAGGCAGCAGGGGTACAGCGTGGGCACTCTGTGCCCCCTGCCCCAGAGCATCCAGTTAACATTTGTACACTGGGCTCGACAGGTGTGCTCACTCCCCTGAACTCTGCGACTCAAGAGTCCCACTGCTCTGAGGCCCGACCCGACCCGCTGGGTCGCAGAGGTTCCTCCAGCCCCAGAAGTGTTGCTGGGAGAAAGAATCTGCCTTTACCTCTGGGGCAGAGAAGGCTTGAGGGCTGAGGTCAAAGTCCAGGGGCATGTTTAGTACCGAGGCCTGGCCTGTAGGGAGGAACCCCAGGAACTCTGGAATTTGCCACCAAAGCCTCTTAACTTATAAAGGGAAAGGGGGAGGGAAGAGTTCTTTATCTTTAAAAAATTTTTTTCATACAAAAATAGATCCATTTGCAAAACATTTTCTCAGCCAGGAGGCTCCACCTCCCATTTCCTTGGAGACAGAGGGTGAGGCGTTGGGATGGTTACGTCACAGCCGTACTCCATGAGTGCACCGGGACTCTGGGGAAGGCAGAGGAGGAAACGGCTCGGGAGCCTGTGGGCTGGTACAAAGGGTCCAGAGAGGCAAGGGCAGAAAGCTTGGCGGCTGGCAAAGGTCCCACAGTGTCACTGTGCCCTGCCTGCCTACCCATGGCTCTGGGTGGGCCACAGCAGGACAGGTAAAGTGGTCCAAATCCTTTATATTTTGGGAAGCCTTTCCCAGGAAGCTGGGCATGGGTGGGACCTGCTTCCCACTTGGCAGCTCCCAGTGCCACACCACTAGTAATAAATAACAGCCAGGGGAGGGGAGAAGAGCTGAGGTGGGAACAACGAAAAGGAGGGATCTGGCCAAAGGCGCACAAGCCCCATGCTGTTCTCAGAGCCAGAAAAACCACAAAAGAAAAGCACAGATCCAGCAAGATTGACCTAGGAGAAAGTTGGGGCTACAGGAGCAGGCTGGGCCTTGTCCAAGACGAGGCCCTCTGAGTAACAGAGGAGACCAGGGTTAAGGCAGCAAACACGGCCCCTGCTTTGGTAATACAACAGCCAGGGCTGGCTGGGTTGGGCTCAGGCCTCCCCCACACTGCCCCTTCCTTCTGGCCTCCAGGCAGCTGAAGCTGTATGTGATGTTCTGAGAGCAGCAGGCCAGAGAAAAAGACAAGGTCAGGGTGCTGAGAGTGGCCCTCCCAGAGGAGCATCCCCTGACCCTGTAGGCATAGACTGCAGGGCAGGACAGTCTGGGGCTCCATTCAGGAAGGAGTTGCTGGGGCCACAGGATCCAGCTTAGCTTGCACGGCCAACCAGCTCCTTGGCTTCTTCGAGGATGGTGGGGACTGCTTCACTAGTCCTGGGTACCTTGGCTGCAACAGCGGTCATGGCATCATCCTTGGTCAGCTCCGAAGCAAGCAACGACGTGACCGCACACCCGGCCTTCCTGTTGGCTGCAAGAGAAGACACAGAGATCCCGTCTGTGGGAGGCCTCATTTCTAATCTCTCTCACTCTGCACATCAGACCTTCAGCTGGAAGCCATGCAAATATGGTTGCCTCGTCTGGCTCATGGAGGCCCTGACTCTGAAGGAGGACAGAGAGCCAGTATGGGGCACACACTTTTGGGTGGCAAAGACTATAACAGTGTGGGACAATAGGAGAGGCAGCCTTGCCCTCCCTTTCCTGTGAAAATAGTACCAAGGTTTAAGTATAGCGACAAAGACAGAGCTAGGTTTAAGTGCTGGCCGTGCGACTGAGAGAGAAGTCCAGAGTCTATGTTCTCATCATGGGGCTGCTGGAATTAAACAGGCTACAACAGTGCACAGTATTATTTTTGTTTTCTTGGCAACTCCCAGAAAGCTCCAAGGCCAAAACACTTTTTAGTCCTGGAAGGTTGTCCCTGGAAGCAGGCAGCCTTTGGTAGGCTGCTGGGGGGATCCTGCAAGGAGAAGCAGCAGCCACCCTCTGGCATCACGTCACCCTCCCGTGTGCTCCCCCAACAACTGAGGCCCACACCCAGCTCTTCCTACCTCTTCAAGGGTAAGCTGTGAATCAAATGCCAAGGACCCTATGAGGTATGTAGTGTGTGCGTGTGCGTGCGTGTGTATAAGAAGTAACAGAAGGTATGTCAGGGAAGGTGAAACTGGGACCAAGGATACCCAGGGGGAGGAGACCCCCAGAGAAACCTTAGCCCAACTGGCTAAGGGATTGTGAAACTCCAGCTGCCATGCCAAGCAGGAATCAGCCAATGAGTTTCTGTTCTAATTGCTGGGGCTCATCCCTAAGCCTCCCACATACATTTACGAAATCCAGACTTAGGGTCACAGGAGCCTCAACAGGAAGACCACATATGCTTTGATGCTATTTCTATGCAAGGTCCGGCAGAGGCTCATCCACAGAGAGGGAAAGTAGCTGTGTGGTCCCGGGCTGGGAGGGAGAATCAGAAGTGACTGCTAACGGATACAGGGCTTCTTTTCGGGATGATAAAAATGCTGTGGAGTTAGACAGCGGTGACAACTGCACAATCTTGCAAATATGCTAAAACCCACTGAATTATACACTTAAAAATGGAGAATTTAGAAAAGGCCTTTCTGGGCCAGACAGCGGTGTGGTGTTTAAGGCAGCTGAATCCCACGTGGCTGACTGTGTGGTCTGAGTCCTGGAGCTGGCAGCTGGAAAGACATGACAGCGCTGGGACGTGCATGTCCAAAATCCCAAGAGTTGAGGAGGAGGAACTGCAGTGTGGCCATCCCCTCCGGGGGGTGCTTTCTCACTTTCCCTCTCTGTCTCTCTCTAGAGTGTACATGGCCTATAACAAATTAAAAAAAGAAACAGACTTTCTGGGGACCTGGGATACTGGACTAGAGAACGCAGTGCCTAAGCCTTAATGAAGCAGGACCAGACGACAGCCCAGTGCTCCTACGTGACGACGGCAGGGCTGGGGCAGCTGCAGGACACGAGCGGGACGGGAGAAGAGTCCAGAGAAGCAGGTCAATAAAGTGCCTCCTCTGCACCAGCCAAATGCAGTGGGTAGGCAGAAGCCAAATAGGCTCAGAGAGTCCAAGTCTTCCCCAAGGCTTCAGCTCCCTGAAAAGCCATGACTCACACAGCAGAAGCTACCCACAGGCCAGGCCAGGAGCACACAGCATGCCCACGTGTTACCAATTTCTAGGTCTCTTCCTCCTCCTCCTCCCAGGGGCACAAGAGGTTATCTATCAAGAGGAGAAAGAAGAGTGAAGGCCCTGACTGACAGCCAGGAGGGCTTATCCAATTACAGCTGAGATGTGACCTAGACCCTGGGGATTTCACAACCTATCCCTGGGTTATGAACACACGCTATTACCTCAGGACTGACAGGTGAGGAAGAGAAGTCGGGTGGAATGTGCTATGATGCCTACGTGTATATGTCTCTCTCACCTTCGTTCTTAGTCTCTCCCCACTAGAAAAATCTTCCTCAGACCTGCTTAGTTTCTGTTCTTTTTTTTTTAAGAGAGGTTTTTACTATAGGGCATGTGCGCTCACCAGAAAGACAGAGAGAGACAGAGAGACTGAGAGACAGGCGTGCATGCACACGCACCTGGCATGAGTTTAAGCCACCGGGTCCAGGACTCGAACCGCAGTTGGCTACATGGGAGTCCAGCGACATAGCCATTATGCTAACTGCTGGTCCCAAGTTTCTGTTCTTTACTGATATACTCCCTTGTCTAGGACCCCACTCCTCATGTCCAAAAAGACCGGGGCTTAAGGAGCCAGCAGGTGGCATGGTGGTTCAAGGCAATGGACTTCCACAGTTGGTCAACTGTGGTTTGAATCCCAGACTTAGCAGCTTGCTTTTTTTTTTGGGGGGGGGGAGAGGTTTTTCACTATAGGGCGCGTGCGCTCGCCAGACAGACAGAGAGAGACATAGAGACAGAAAGCGAGAAATCACCCCCCAGGGGGGATGGTCACGCC